TTTTGTGAGGAAAGGAGTTGAGGATGACTGAGAGACTGATGAGACCACTGGCCAAAACAGGAAAGCTGAGGAATGTTTTGTGGGTAAAATGATGAGTATGGCTTTAGATCAGTGGCATTACTAGGGTTGGTGTCACCCAGTGTGGTAACTCATGGTGTCACCACCCCCCATGGACCTCCTCCCGTACCAAACCATACAGAATCCTTGTTAATGTTTTTTGTACTAGCATTAATCATAAATTGTAATTTCCATATATCACTCCTTCTTTTCCTTTAATTACTACTTCATTCTCAAAAGAAGTTTATTGATATAGGTTCACAAATACTAATTACCACAGTATTGTAGCTAAAATACCAGAAAATTTAACAAAATTAGCCACTATAAAAACACCGGCAGCAACAAAAACAACAGCACCTGCTTGTAGCGCATGCAGACGAAACCACATGGTTCAAAGCGTCGTTGTAATTGGGTAATAACGATAGCTCTACCTGGAGTGCATTAGAAGATTCAAAGAGTAAATTAGCATAGAGTTTTAGCCTTGTAGGTATATTGATACATGTAAGCTGGCCTTATTAAAAATGTTTTTGTTGTTATAGCTAACTACAGGGATATTTTTATAGCCAGTCCTCTTAGTGTCACTCATCTGACAGTGTCACCCAGTGCGGTCCACACACCCCTCCCTCTCCCCCTCACCCCCCAGTGATGCCATTGCTTTAGTTGTGTTGAATTTGACATAATGGCAGTCTCCACTAGGACCTTAAGAAAGGTCTTCTTGTTTATTTCCCATATTCGTCTTTCTGATGCCCGATATTCCGATAGCCATTTTGGCCATGAAAATACTTTAAGGGCTCAGAATTTAACCATAGGTGCCCTGTGGAATGATCCTTTTCCAAGTCCAAGTGACCACGTTTAAAATCCCTTGAGAGTGACAATCCACAGCCCAGGAAGAGGCAGACACAAGCCTTTTGGAGATGGTTTTGTCTAGATATTCAAGCAGATGCTTTTAAACAGAGACCTCCAGCAACATTTCCAGATTAGGAGGTTGTGAAGTAGACAAGATGACAGAGAGGCCAGAGAGGGGGACACAGAGGGCTCAAGTTAGACCTAGGTTCAAATCCCTGCTCCACCACTTACTAGCTATATGATCTCTTTTGAAACCTCAGACCTCTGATATATAAAAATGGGAACAATAATAGCACCCACATTGTAAACTGATAACCCAAAAAACCCACTGCCATCTGGTCAGTTCTGACTCATAGCGATCCTATAGAACAGAGTAGAACTGCCCCATTGGTTTCCAAGGCTGTAATCTTTTTATTGTACTTTAGATGGAAGTTTACAGAGCAAACCAGTATCTCATTAAACAATTAATACACATATTGTTTTGTGACATTGGTTGCCAGTCCCACAACATGTCAACACTTTCCGCTTCTCAACATTGGGTTCCCCATTACCAGCTTTCCTGTCCTCTCCTGCCTTCTTGTCCTTGCCCCTGGTGTGCCCATTTAGTCTTATTTTGCTTTATGGACCTGTCTAATCTTTGGCTGAAGGGTGAACCTCAGGTATGACTTCATTACTGAGCTATAAGGGTGTCTGGGGGCCATACTCTCAGGGTTTCTCCAGTCTCTGTCAGACCAGTAAGTCTGGTCATTTTTTTCGTGAGTTAGAATTTTGTTCTACATTTTTCTCCAGCTCTGTCCGGGACCCTCTATTGTGATCCCTGTCGGAGCAGTCGGTGGTGGTAGCCAGGCACCATCTAGTTGTGCTGGACTCAGTCTGGTGGAGGCTGTGGTAGTTGTGGTCCATTAGTCCTTTGGACTAATCTTTGCCTTGTATCTTTGGTTTTCTTCATTCTCCCTTGCTCCAGATGGGGTGAGACAGGTTGAGTATCTTAGATGGCTGCTCACATGCTTTTAAGACCCCAGACACTACTCACCAAAGTAGAATGTAGAGCATTTTCTTTATAAACTATGTCGTGGCAGTTGAGCTAGATGTTCCCTGAGACCATGGCTCCCACAGCCCTCAGCCCAGTAATTTGGTCCCTCAGGGAGTTTGGATGTCTATGGAGCTTCCATGACCTTGTCCAAGGTTTTGATCTTTAAGGAAGCAGAGCAGCTTTGCGGAGCAGCTGGTGGGTTCAAACTGCCAACCTTTCAGTGAGCAGCCAAGCTCTTAACCACTGTGCCACCTGGGCTCCTTTGCAAACTGATAGTGAAAATTAAATGTAAAGTACTTAGCACAGTTCTTGACATATAGAAAGTATTCAATAATGTAAGCTATTATTATTATCAGATTGCAAAAACCAGAGCCTGGAGACCAGCTGAGATTATCACAACAGTTCCCATAGAGTCCACAGCGGACTTAGAATGCATTATGATGTGGTCATTGATCCTCCGCTCTCGTTCTTTCTGTCTGTGGACTGTGCTACCAATTTGTCTTTCCTCAGACTCAGAGCTCAAAAGGACCCGGGCAAGGTCCTCTCCTCCACTGCTGGTTCTCAAAAGCAAGTCAGCACCTCCGAGTGCCATGGATTTGGAGGGATGGGCTGGGAGTGAGAGATGGAGAGCACAAGGGATCAGGAAAACAGAGTGTAACTTGCAAGAGGAAGAGGAAGTCCTGGCAAAGGTTATTTATGGAAAAGCATAAGTAACAGACCCAGCTGCTTAGCACCTTTTCTCAGCCCTGGCAGAAGCTTCTCAGCCAACTCTGCTCTCATGAAGAGGCCAGACAGAGTCCCAGAGGTGCATACACCATGGCCCGCACTCTGTCCTGAGCACCCACTATGAGCTTCAGGTCCCTGCCTGGATGCTGACACAGAGGGCATCCCAAAGGGAGGAAAAACAGAGTTCAAGATTCTCAGTCTGTAAGAAGGAGACTGGTCAGCCCCCAGCACTGATGGACACCCAACTCTGGACATCTATGCTAGAGGGGTGGGAAAAAGGGAAGTGCAGTGCTGGGGTGGTGGGTGGTACTGGACTGTGCAGCCCAGCTTAGCCTGCAGGGCTCCCTGGACTGGGCAGGTGGGAGCAGTGAGCAGGGGGAATCTGTATGATTTCCGGTGATGTGCGGATAGGGGGAGAGGAGGCAGTGGTGGATGTTAGCAGTGAGCAGAGTACTAAGCTTTGTCTGCAATGTAACCTACAAAGGAAGCGCACAAAGAAATTTAAAAAGCCATACTGGCATCCTGCAGGGAACTCATATCTCTTCCCCTATCTCAACTTCCCACAGGCCTTTCCGTCTCATTGGAGCAACAAGCTGGAGCCCGGAGAAAAGGCCTAGCCAGAACCATGCTCGGGGCAAAATAAACAGTGTTAAGAGCTTGGGGACAGGAACTGGACTTCTCACCATGGAGTCAAAGCTTGGGGCGGGAGATTGCAGAGACTTGGCAGAGGAGAGCTCCCCTCACCACTCCCACAGCCCTTGCCTCCTCCTGCCTGGTCCAATCTGCAGCAGTATTTCAGGGCTATGGGAAGACACTGTTCCCCAAACGCTGGTCCTAGGGTCCCAGGATAGCCCCCCACCCGGGAGGAGCGGCAATGCTGGAAGTGAGGTTCTTTTTATTTTGTATTTATCTAAAAATTCAGGGAGCCCTTGCTGACATTCTTGCTTAGGGGCCCAGAATTTAAACTTAGTCACTGCCCAGAGCCCTTGTTTTAGGAAAGAATGAGATGGCCGTTGCATAACCCAGAGCTGGGAGGGTGTGGGTTGCTGAAGGAAACGGTCCCTCTGCTGTGGAGGCTCGGCTAGGAGTGCTGAGGATGGGCGGGGCACTGCCTGGGAAAAGGCCCGTCGGGAGCGGGGGAGGTGGACCAGTGGAGCCAAGGCAGGCAGAAACGCCCGGACCTGCTCCCCTTCTGGAGGATGCTTCCCTGCAACAGCCTCCTGCCCCTGCCCCTGGGGCTGGAGGAGGAAAGCAGTTATTTCTAGGGCAGCACAGCCTGAGGAGTCCAGAAAACCCAATATCTGATATTGGAGAAGGGAGACAGATGTGGAGGAGGAGAGGAATGGAGGGGAGGGCTGACCTGGATGAAGGACCGTGTGAGGTCTGCTCTCAGGCCACTGTTGCCAAGAGCACCCCAAGTATGGGCTCCTCTAACTTTAAACTTTTGCGCCTCCTGCATAATTTCAGCTGGTCAACTCCCCGCTTTCCTTAGCTCCCTGGTGCTCAGCCAGTTCTCACCTTGCGTGGTCACCCCCTCTCCAGTCCTTGCAAACTCACAATGCCAGGGTTTCCTACAGTTCATCCAAGGTGTATTCCTCCCCAACCTCTTCCCCTTTCACCCCTTGCTCCCCCTTCCCCTTTTATCATCTTACCCCAGGCTAGCTCCCCTCATACCGTTTTCCCCATACTCCCTTCTCAGGGATCCTTTCTCTTGCCCCTTCCTCAATTTTGCCCCTCTTCTCCTTGGTCTACTTTCTCCCATCAGCAGTAGGTTCTCCCAAGACCCCCAGCCCCATTATCTGTCATCCAGTCTTTTCTCTCTGCCTTCCTATTGGCCCACTCTTTCTCATGATTCCCACACCCCATCCTTTCTCAACTCACTTTTAGCCCCCATCTGCTCCCTCCCCACTGGAGCGCTGCTACCCTTTCACCTTCCTTCACTTACGCTAACTGGATTCCAGATTTTCCTCTTCATCCAACTCCCGGCCTCCCCTTCCTACACCCCTCCCCACCCCCTAGTCTCTCCAGTCAGCTGTCCAGCTCCCAAATTCCGGGAGAGATTCCCAGAAACAAAGCAACAAAAATCAGAGCCATTTGGGAAGTAAACAGCAACTGGGAAGGGAAAAGGGGAGAAAACAGTTGGGAGGACCCAGGTGGAGGGGGGGCCTCTCCAGTCCCACCCAGTTTAGGGAATGCCCCTGCCTCCCCCCTCCCCCTTCACCTGGCTCTTAAAGGGCCCGGCCCCTGACCGTCTGCTACTTAAGGCGGAGGGGCGGCAGCGGGCAGCAGCTGCGCTTCGCCTGCTCTGGGAGGAGTGGACTGGGCAAAAACCCTGGCCATGACCCCCCATAGGCTGCTGCCGCCACTGCTACTGCTAACTCTGCTGCTCGCTGCCTGCCCAGGAGGCGCCTTGGCACGGTGCCCAGGCTGCGGGCCGGGGGCGCAGGCGGGCTGTCCAGGGGACTGCGTGGAGGAGGATGGGGGGCTGCCAGCAGATGACTGTGCGGAAGCTGGGGGCTGCCTCCGGAGGGAGGGGGAGCACTGCGGCGTCTACACTCCTAACTGCGCCCCAGGACTGCAATGCCAGCCGCCCGAGGAAGACGAGGCGCCTTTGCGGGCGCTGCTGCTGGGCCGGGGCCGCTGCCGCCGGGCCCGCGCGCCCTCGGGTGAGTCCGCGCCCTGCCCCGCCCACGTGAGACCTGCATCTCTACCGGCCGGGTACTGGAGAGAGATGGGGCGGGCAGCGCTGCAGACCTCTGGGTCCTGGCCGACCCTGGGGTGTGAGAGCCTTTGCGGGGGCAAGGGGGCCAAGTGCAGAGAGCAGCTAGGAGGCTGGTGTACAGCCACGGGAGCTGGGGATAAAGCAGGAAGATGTCTGAGCGTCTGAGTGCTCCGGTTCTTTTTTGCCCCCTCTGTAAAGGCCAGATGGGATGAAGGGTTTCAGGACAAGCCCAGATGCCCTAGCAGGCCCAGCTCCTTCAGCTCTAGAACCCCAAGTTGGAGAAATGACCCAGATGTTGTTCCCATCTTCTACTTGGAAAAGGAAGGAAGGGGGCCCCAGAACCCAAATCCAGCACACTTGGGAAATGTTTTCTCCTCTCAATACCTGGTCTAGAACAGAAGATGCTCCAAGTCCAGAGCTGTTCCAGACTGGACTAGAGTCAGAGGGCAGGGCCTGGAAGCACTGGTGGAGGGGGCTAGAGGTGGGGAAAGAGGGTGTTTGCCTAGTCAGGGTTATGAATTTAACCTGCTCAGAACCCTCTACTCCACCCACACATCCATCCCACCCTAGCCCAGCGAGGAGTATAGAAGGCTGAGTCACTGGGTAGGTGGGACAGAAGTGAGTAAGCATCCAAACGATGGGGGGCAGCAGGGAGATGGGGAGGGCAGGAATGCAAACTGCACTTACCCCAAAGGCATCTGAGCTCCTGGCTTTTCAATGGAAGGGATGGGAAATTCACTTTGAATTTCTTTCAGTCCCAAATGCCTGGGTATAGGCTGCTGGGGGTCCTTCTAGAAAGCATGGTCTGGGTAGGACAGAGGTGGCAGTTGGGAGGCATGGTTGGGTGCTGAATGGAGGGAAAGAGGGGCAAGGTCTGAGGAGTGTGGGGTGCCAGGATTGCAGAAGAAATGGCTCTTGGGTTGCCTGTAGCAGATGGGAGCAATTGTCTAGCTTTGAGGGCTAGGGACCTGAGCAGAGCCTGTCTTTGGGCATGGAGAAGGACAGATCTCTCCAGGGGTCATAAGGATCTAATTTTACAGCTGGAGCAAATTCCAAGCAGTACATGCTCCCCTCACTGCCTTTCCTAGCCCACAGTTACTTCCTCACCCCACTCCCAGCCCTGAGCTGTCTGAGGCCCCCCAGACCCCATGTCTGAAACTTTCTCCAGAGCCAGGAACAGCCTGCAGGTTGGAAGCCCCTCACTCCTTGCATCTTTGTAACCTGCCCTTCAGCCCACTCTGGTTAAGGGCTGAATCCCACATGCTCCTGAGACCACTGGGCTTGAGCTGGGCTCAGCCACAGCAGACCTGAAGGGAGAGGCCCCACTGCAATGCCCCAAAACTAACCACATCTCAGGCTTGGGAGGAGTGAGCTGAGTCATAACGAGGTCACAATGGGGACACACATTCCACTTGGGTCCCTGCTGACCCCCTCCCACATCTGTTGCTCTTCTGCCCCATCTCCCTGGCTTGGCGCACCCCCTGCTGGTTCCTGTTGGAACAGCCAAGTCTTCTCACCAGAAACCCAAGGCCTCCCAATAAGTGATATTTGGTATTGTTTCTTCAGTTTTTGCTTTCCAAAATACTTTGTATTTGTTTTTCAATTTTTGCTTTCCAAAATGCGTCTTCCTTATACACCTTAAAACTGTTCTTTGGATATTTTCAAGAAATGTAACATCACCATTTGTCAAAAGATGAAACTGAGGCCAGGGTAAGCTAGCGGTGGAGCCAAGTGCTAACCCCTCACTTTCTACTACTCCACAAGGCCCTCTCTTTATCCCACTTCAATGGGCAGGGGTGGGTAAGGCTCTTCTCCACTTGGGTCTGGTCTTGGCATCTGGCCTCATTCTAGCCTCTTCTTTCCCCATTCCTCATGTGGCTGTAGGGGAGAATCCTAACGACAGCAAACCCCAAGCAGGGGCCACCCGCCCACAGGACGTGAATCGCAGAGACCAAGAGAGGAATCTGGGGACCTCTACCACTCCAGCTCGGCCCAACCCTGGGGGTGTCCAAGACACAGAGATGGTGCGTTGGAGGCAGGCAGGGAGCAGGAGGGGTGGGGGGCCCTGAGGACTCCATCTGAGCCAGACCGCTCCCTTCGGCAGAGGCAGTGCTGGTGCACCTTGCCCAGAAGCACAGCTGTCTATCCTGGCAGTCTGGCTGGTGGGGCCAGTGAGCTGTGCAGTGGTGCTAAGCTGGGGTGGGTCTAAGCTGTCCGCCCTCCCTTTCCCAGGGCCCATGTCGCAGACATCTGGACTCAGTGCTGCAGCAACTCCAGACCGAGGTCTTCCGCGGGGCTCAGACCCTCTATGTGCCTAATTGTGACCATCGAGGCTTCTACCGGAAGCGGCAGGTGAGGCCACTCCTCTGCTGCCCTTGCTCCACCAGTGCAAGGCTTCTGCCAGAGAAGGGGGGACAGAGGGGACACGGTTACAAAGTTGCCTAAATAAGACACTGCCCCTGCCTTTAAGGATCTTACAACTTTAAGACCCACACAAACATAAAGAATAACCAACCATACACTGCAGTAGCAGAGTTAAACTGCGGAAGGACTGGCCTAACTCACTGACTTTCCAACTTGAAGCACATCAGAATCACTTGGAGAGCTTGTTAACACACAGATTGCCGGGCTCCACTGCAGAGTTTCTTAGAATCCGAAACGGTCTGAGCGGAGCCTGAAAATCTGCATTTCTAGCAAGTTCCCTGAGGATGCTGAGGCTGTTGGTTTGGGGACCACACTTTGAGAACTACTGTTCTGGCCTAGAAGAATGGGTATAATTTAGCAAGTGGAGAAGAGGGGGAACCAAGGGATGAGAACCCAGGGGGCTTCACTGTCCTGAGGGAACTCTCAGATGTTTCTCATACTCAGACTCAAGGGTCCACAGCTTCTGCCCAAATCAGGGCTCCCCCTTTATCTCTTCTGCTGGAAGTCTCAGGCCTCGCCTGATCTGTGTGTTTCTCTCCCCAGTGCCGCTCCTCCCAGGGCCAGCGCAGAGGTCCCTGCTGGTGTGTGGATCGGATGGGCCAGCCCCTGCCAGGGCCACAGGGCAGCAAGGGAAGCTCCCCCTGTCCCACTGGGAGCAGCGGCTGAGGCAGGGTGGAGGGCGGCAGGGCCACTGACAGAAGCATGGAGGTGTCATCTTGGGTTATTTATTGAGTGATGAGTAACTCAGGGGCCCTAAGCCCCACACTTCACCTTAGGCCCTGTCCCATTGTCCCTGTCACCCCCAGGACCTCACACAGCCCGCTAGTGGAAGGATCGTTAGTGTTGGCTTGGGTGTTAATAAAGCTGTGTGGGGAGTCTCTGGCCTATGTCTCTGCGTCCACCTCTTGTATTTCTGGAGCCCCTGGCCTTCTCTCTACCCGTATTCCAGCCCCCCCACCCCCACAGCAGCCATCCTTTCCTGTAGACCACCTTCAGTCCCTCCTGCTGAGCTTGAACACAGGAGATAGCCACTGGCAGAGGCTTCAAGCCATGAGGCCTCACTCATCCACCACCAGGGAGTGGGGGGCAGGAGGTGGTGGGAGGGGAGACCCTGAGGTCATGGCCTCGGCCCAATGTTGTGACCTGGTCTCTAACACTGATCTTTGAACACAGACAGAGGGGAAGGATTAATAGTTAATCTCCAGCACAAACCCAGCAAAGAAGAACTCTCAAATCCCTTACTCTTCTGCTATTTTCTACTAAAAGGGGAAGGAAATTATTATTTCTTGAACTTCTCCCATGGGGCCAGGCCCTGGACCATGTGCTTTTACCTGGACTACCTCATTTTGTGCTCACAATAACCTTTCGACGTAGGAATTCTTGCACCCATTTTTCAGAGGAGGAAACTGTGGCTCAAAAAGTTTGGGCCACTTCCCAAAATGACACAGCCAGTAAATGGTAGAGGGAGGGTTTGACTTTGAATCTAGTTTTTCCATACATGACAATACCTAGCATTCCCCATGTGCTGAATAAATGTTTGATGTGTCTCCTTTCTGCCTACATGCTAACCCAAGTGGGTATAGGAAAGAGTTAACATTCAGGGGCCCTGACACGCAATAAATATTTCCTGGAAGGGCCAGAGCACCATAGGTGTCCCAGGTGCCAAGCCCATCAGAACATTAATCACACACGTCTAATGCCTGCCAGTCGACAAGCTTCTTCCACACACCTTATCTCGTGGGCTAAGGGAGCTGAATGCACTGGTACCTATAGGAGGTCCTGACCCCTCCCTGACCTTCAGCCTGTGTTCAGGAAGGCCAGAAGGCAAGCTGTGCTAGGTGATAAGCCTCAGAGAGGCAAAGTCCCCAGACACTACTCCTGTGGGAGGGACAGCTTGCTTGGAGCTGGGTCTCTGGGAGGTGGTAGGGTGTTGGGGGGATGCGTCGGTCCCTGTAACAGTCATCGGAGAAAGCCTGTAGCTGAGCACTGCCCTCTGGATCAGATAACCTATCCTGTTTCTGGAGGCCCCCTCCCCCTAAAAGGACTTTAGTCGTTGGAGCTGTCAGCTGAGCTGAGTGGGGAAGGTGCTCCGCAGGTAGTGAAGAGAAGGAGGGAACACGGGTTAGGTTAACCGCCGCCTGCTGCTCACTCAAGACTCACATCATGGAGCCACGGGGAGTCCATTTGCGGAGGAGAGAAGGGCTGGGAGGAGAGCAGGAGCACCGACCCTTGGGAGAAGGTGAGCCACCCTCTGGGGGTACAGGAAGCTCAGGTGGGGTTGGAGGTGAGGATGCATCATTGAGAGGAAGCTCCTACTGTCTAACTTCAATCTTTCATGCTATTCTGGGAGACCAGGGAAGGCAGACCCTGGCCTCTTCCCTAAATCGTCCAGGTGGGAGAGGGAGGCAAAAAGATATTCAGAGTTGTAGCCTTGCCTTATCTTTCTGACTCTTTAACCCCAGAGGGTGAATGGAGTAGCTTCCTGTTCCCTAGGTGCCCTGTTTTCAGTAATGGTCCCCTCAACCCCCTGCAAAAAGAACTTCCCCTTCTGATTGCCCCACCCATGATACTAGATATTAGCTAGTTGGGTTTGGGGGCTGCTGAGCAAACAGACTGCATTTCCTGAACAGAAGATGCCTCTGGGTCTGCATGAGGCCCCCAAACCCTAACTTTTCTCCTTTGAGTGTGCCCTTTGACCTATCCTCCTAGGAAGCACTGAGACGCATGGAGCCCCAGACTTGGTACAATGGACTCGACATATGGAGGTGAGAGGCATCATAGATCAGATGGACAGGTCCTGCAGTGGCAGGAGGCAGGGGTGGGGACCACTTTGGCGATAAAGGAAATTTGTTTCTGAGTTCAAAGATCAGATGAGAGTTAAAGGTTAAGATGGGGGAGTTTGAAACCCACGTCCTCAGAGCAGGGACCAAAAGTCAGCCAGTGAACAGAGAATCTTCCTATAAGTGGGATTAGAGGTCAGGAGAGAGAAAGCTATGAGTCAGGACTAAGAAAGTAAGGGCTCAGAGATGGGAAGGTGGTTGGATTTCAGGCCCAGAGAGTGGAAGCATTGCTCCTGTGTCATTCGTGGGTCCTTGATGCTGCCCTGGAGGCCAGAAGGAGATAAATTCTTGAGGAACCTCTGAGCAGGAACTTTTATACCCTAGCACTTAGTACTGTGCTCAGCCCAGAGAAGCTCAGTAAATGTATGGGCAACCAGAGGATGGCTGACTGAATGAGGGGCGGTGGGTCCTTCCCTGGCTTTGTCCTATAGGCTATGAAGACACAGTTGCTGGAGCAAGCTCAGGGACAGCTGATGGAGATGCTGGATCGAGCCGTGTGGGAGGCTGTACAATCCTATCCGCCACAGGGTGGACCCCTGCCCTCTATTCCCCCAAATTCCTTGAGCAAGTAAGTCTGAGGAGCCAGGGAGATGGGGAATGGCTGGAGAGGTCCCTCTGTCGTAAGGATCATGAGTCATAAATACCATCTTATGCACCCTTTGTCAGCCATGGCAGTGACCCTGACTTTGATCTTCCCTCTTCTCCCCCTCCCGCCCCATCTTCCTGACCCTGACCTCTACCTTCTGGGCCTTTCTTTGGCAGTGGTCACTTGCTCTGCCCTGGCCCTGACCTTCTGTCTGGTCCTTCCCTCTGGCCCTGGCCCTGACTGTCCCCTATTACTACCTTTGACTTCCAAGTATGGACCTTCCCCATGACCCTGCCCTCTGCCCACTGCCTTCTTCCTTTGGGTCTTGACCCGGAACAACCATCTCAATTCAGGACCCCGGAGCCAGCCCTTGGGAAACGGAAAGTTTTCATCATCCGCAAGTCCCTGCTTGAGTAAGTCAGGAGTGAGGACAAGGGGGAGAGGAAAAGAAAGGGCTTTAGCTGTAGGTCCAGGGCACCTCATTTCTCATCCCTAGGTGCTAGGTGGTTTGGGAGAGGATTTGGAGAGGGGCTCTAAGGCTCAGTTTCCCCATTTGCCCTGAGTCTGGCTGTGGAAGAAAGGCCACCAGGAAGAGAAGTGTCTGGGCTGGGAAGAACTCTGGACAGAAGCCCCAGCCACAGCTTAGCCCTTGACTGGAAGTTTCCAATCACTAGGCCCCATGCCCTCATTTGTACAGTACCTGAGCTAGTCCAGACAACTTTGAAGACCCTGCCCACACTGACATTCGGGCCCTTGTCCCTCCAGTGAGCTGATGGAGGTGCAGCATTTCCGCACCATCTACCACATGTTCATCGCCGGCCTGTGTGTCTTCATCATCAGCACCGTGGCCATCGACTTCATTGACGAGGGCAGGTAGGCTCCTCTACAGCCCAGAAGAGACACACAGATCAGACCCCGTGGGTCTCCAGTGCTCCACCTGCCACTGGCACATGAGGGCACAGGTCCCCCTTTGATTACTGGACACGTGTCAACATCACTCAGACCTTCCAACAATATTCCACTTAAAACCCACCTTGGAGTCCTTCCTTTTGTACCCTGGATGGCCCTTGCTCTCTCCTCCCAAGACCACCCATTCTGAGGACACCCTGCCCCTCTCAAATTCTTCTCAACAGGGACCTTGCCCTGAGGCAGATACGCACACAGTATGTGTGTCTCAGTGCTGTGCCCTGATCACCACTATTTACACAAGTCAGGTCTATTCAATCCAAGTAATCTCCACTGAGCACCTACTAAGTGCCAGTCCTGAGGGCCAGAAGGATGAGCCAGGCAGACGCCACCCCTGTCTAGGAGGCACTCCCAGCCTTGTGGGGAAGACAGATATGCAGACAAGTGCTTTGGTGGGTAGATTCCCCCACGGAGCAGCCCCTTCTCAAGGGATGAGCCTCAGAGGGCCTATTCACTAAGACGGGAGCAGTAAATAGGATGCATACCCCGGGTGGGGGGCTATATTTGCATGTCCCCCACCTGCTCCAGAGGATTTCCTAAGATGAAATCTTTATGGGAGTAGATCACCAGGTCTTTTCTCCCGCAGAGCAGCTGGTTGGTTCAAACCACTGACCTTCCAGTTAGCAGCCAAGTACTTTAACCATTTCATCACCAGGGCTCCTTATAAACCTGAAAAAGCCATTGCCACTGAGTCAGTTCCAACTCATAATGACCCTACAGGGCAGAGTAGAACTGCCCCATAGGGTTTCCAAGGAGCGTCTGGTGGATTCGAACTGCCGACCTTTTGGTTAGCAGCCATAGTTCTTAACCACTGCGCTACCAGGGCCCAATCATATGAGTATTACAAGGATAAAATCTCATAGCAAAAAGTTCAAGTATACATAAACTGGCAGTCCTTACTGATCACCCTCCTCAATCCCAGACTGCTCCCCAGAGGTACACATTTTTAACAATTTCCCTCCGGACCATTTTCCATGCATTCACATTCATGTGTATATAAGAACCAAAGATATGTATTTTGTGAGGTTGTTACATAAATACGATACTGTCCCTCTTGTTTTGCAATCTGTTTTTACCCCCTAATAATATATCTTAGAGATCTTTCCGTGTCAGCACATAGAACTCTACTTCCATTATTTTTAATGGCTGCCAAGTAGAGAGGCACCATATTTCGTATATCTGTTATTTTGTTGTTAGCTACCATGTAGCTGGCCCCGACTCTTGGCGACCCTGATCGTTGTGGAGTGGACAGTTTTATCCATAGAGTTTTCATT